CCTATCCTGGATTCGAACCCGGGCCCTTTGGTATCGCAGTCGACTCCCCCAACCACTATACCCTCTGGACGGCAGAACATGAATGTAAATGTCAAGTTTTTACTGAAAAGAATCGTGTTTCATACTTAAATTTTACTTTTAAGGATTGTTTTTATTTAAAACTTCTACTGATAGCTAACAAATATATTTATTAGAGTATTAAAAACGTGTTAAGTAGTGTAAAATTGTACATGCTTAAATATGTGTAATATTGCAGAATTTCATATGGTATTTTTATTCTCCCAGAGGGATTCGCATAAAACTGCCTTTTCCATATTTTGCAAAAATTATCTATTGGTATGACACCAGTTCTTATTATCTAAAGAACTTACATTGAATTACATTAAAGATTACATTAAAGATTACATTGAATAGAAACATAAAATTCTAAGGCGAACCTTTCAGGAAAACGTAAACAGCCCTGAGGAATTTTTTGAGAAATATCTGGTAAGTATAATATCTTACTGTGAGATGATAAAGAACGTTTCAGGCTGTATGATTGTTTTAGCAATGTTGAATCGAATGACTGTAAAGAAGGGCGACAGCTTAGAGAGCAAATATTTTAGTAAAATTAGATCTCAGAAACTGAGAGGTATTACGAATATTTCTCTTTGAAGAACTCGAAGGAAATCTAATTTGAATGACAGCTTCGAGTTCTGATGGATTTTAGAGTTCTGCCTATTCTGAATGCAACCAGATTTATGAATGTTTCTGAAAGGAGTGAAATCCGATACTTCCGGCAATTCATAAACTTGCAGATATCTGATAAATATTCTATCACTATGATCTTTGCATTTTTCTATAGGGCGAAGAGCAAAATAAATAAAAAATGATTCTGAACTTCAAACCAACATTTTCATGCGCAAGTGAATGTTTTTATTGATAGCTATAAATTTGTCTAAATAAAGTTTAAAACAATATGATTTTATCATTTATTTTTGTAAGCATTTATGCGTTATAGCATCTCTTATCTAAATTTCAACATAAAGCAATCTGATAAACTAACTCAGTATAAAGCAGTCGGTTAAAAATTCCATATAAACAATCTGACACTTTAAACTCAATTATTTTGAGTTTGCAATTCAACATTTCACAGTATTTTCCATTCGTGAGCATAGCTTTATATTGAGTGTTTTAGACTGTAGGATCTATTATCAAAAATCAGAAAATTTTTTTAAAAACATCCTATTATTCCTTAGAATGCTTAGGATTATTTCTTTAGCATATTCTATATGAAAATATCCATCTCGTAGGCTGATAATCAACGTAAGTCTTGGCTTAACGAACCATCCAACTAACTAAAAGTCTGACAAAAGATGCGTTGATTAGCAATAAAATATTTAACTCAGATGAGGTGCACAGAAAAATGGCCAATGCTGTTATGTATAAATCAGCTATATTTAGTTAAATAAATCAAAACTGGGAATTGTAAGTAACGTAATAAGAGTCACAAAATTAAATTCAATATTGCGGCAAAAGTATGACTTTATGTAACATATCTAAATAACTAATACGTAATCAGCCGCTGACGAAAAAGTTTGAAATGAGTGTGAACAAATCCCAGCGACGGCCGAGCGGTAAAATCGATGAACTCTGGTAGTTCCAACTTGGGTTTGAATCCAGCTGAAAGCACTGGCTGCATGGGTTTTCGTGGTTTTACCCATATGTAACGTGTATACGAGCCCGTTTCCCTTAGAATGCCCTCCGCGAAGGCATACCTCCCCTTAGGCAGATAGCCCTAGTGTGCTTTGCAATAATCTACCAAACCAAAAAGTATTTTCGGTGATGTAGTAAAGCCATCGGAAGTGAAATAGCATCATAAGTGCGCCAAATATTGTGAAAATTTTATATTTAATGTTTTCGAATTACCTGTAGGTATTCAACAGTTAATTTTTACCTGATATAGCTATTTTTATGTGCACAGAATCTACTGCCAATAAATATCACAAGTGCCCATTTTAAACCTAAGTCAAAAAAATATTACGGTTTGTCTATAAAACCGTTCGAACTTAGAACACAGAAAAAATAATGCATACGGAAATGGCGACTTTACTTGACTGAATAATTGTTACGAGTATGGTTGCCTCAAGAAATGTTATGTGCTGCATGGTTGCCAGAGTTTGGCACATTCTGAAAATTTGGCGACTTCTAAAACGTGGGAATTCTTTAGCTGAATTTTCTGAGATCTAATTTTACTAAAATATTGGGACTTATGTGCTAACACATAAGTCCCAATTTTTAAAGCTAGCAATTCAGCTTTTTCTTTTCGAAACACTTTGTATTATTGCATTTCTCTTCTTTAATTCTTACAAAGATCTTTCGATAAACAAAATTTACTATAGTAACAATATTCATATGAAAAAATAAAAAAATATTTGGATGAAAATTATTAAAAGAGGCCAAAAATTATTTTTGCTGTCTTCGAATAACTAAATATTAATAACCTTTACCGTTAAAAATATCAAAATATTTTAAAAAGCATAATTTTTGAACTGTTGTTAATTATTATATTTTCAATTTAAGAAACTTAGAGGTTGCATATGTTTGACTATAAATTAACTACTTTCTGACATCACTGATTACCTTTCGTACTCTTGGCGTCGAAATCGATTCTTGTCGAGATTTTAAGTGTGTACACCTAATTAATATGTGCAAAACTTAAATTATTTTAGTTCTTAATACTAACTAAACAGCTTAACTTGTTCAACAAATCTGCAGGAGTTGGCCTGCATTAAATCATAAACTATTAGATGAAATGGAATGAAATTAACTTTTTAGAATTTCGAAATTAATATATTACCCAACGTTTAATAAAAATCGATTTAAAGTACTGCATCTGGCAACACAAACATGCGTAATTGTTCTCATTAGGCATGTCTCAACAGGTTACAAATAATAAAAAAGGCATAAATATATTTATTCAGTCACTATATTCTTTTCCAATGAAACTATTTAAATATGTATGCATCGCAAGTAAAGTTAAAACTCAAACATTTCGGAAAGAATAACAACACAATAAAAATTAAATTACACGGAACATTAATGATTGGGAGAGGAATCGATTATTCGTCTTATTCCTTCGAAACTTCGAAATTTAAATAATATAAATTATTCATCTCGTCTTGAAATTCGGCTAAATCACACAGAATATATGCATGAAGATTTAGCCTTTTCTTCTGTCTCTCTTCGCTGTTAAACTCAACTGCCTTTGGCAAGTTATCAAACTGAAATTTTACAGTGTTTCCTAATTAGAAAATTAAAAAAAAAAAAACATAAACTTTTACTACAAGCTATAACTTGTACCTCTGCAAATGAAATAAGCTTAAACTGATATTCTCCTGTTCCTAGAAGAAGCATTAAATACCCTAACAAAGATCACTTTCTAATTAAGTATCATTAAATAATGGCACTCTAAAATCTTTTGTGTAGTAAAGCATATTTGAGATATTGTCTGACCTATAGTCAGCCGAGGCCCTAGCAATTCCTCGTGGCAAGTTTACGCCTGCTTTACAGGTGACAGATCGATTTAGCTCATCCCCCCCCCCATTTTTGATGGAGAGCACCCTGACGGGACGGTTCCGAGTGTCTTCCCTCTACCCCTACCATCAGCTTGTCTAGAGGACTTTCGGCTCGCCGCGTATTTAGAGTATCCCCATGCCGCACAGACCCTATACATTTACAAACATCCATTGCTTCTCTGGGATTCGAACCAGGGTCCTTCGGCACGGCAATCAGTGACGCTAACCACTATACCGTTTGGGCGCACAAAAAATGTATTAATTCATTATCTCTCTAATGTAAAATATTCAGTATTATGACCTTATATAATTTTGTATTATTTATTTCACATTTTGTAAAACTTTAATTTTTTTATTAATAAACTCAACTATTTGAAAGCGAGCAGGGGCAACCCTGTACGGAATAACACATTTTTATCTCTATCGCGCAAGATTTTTCTGTCAGAAATTCTAAAGATGTGCTGTTTTTAAATATTTTGTGACTTTAATGTTAAATTGAAGTCTATGTGACGTGATGTTTAATAAATAAACATAACACACAAATCGGTAATAATAAAAAAGGCACCAAAAAAGAGTTTCCTACCTTACTATGAAATTTGAACATTGATATGATGAACTAAGAGAAGACTGAAAAGTAGAAAAAATTACAATAACACATAAACACTGCATCGGGAAGCTTAGGGAATTCTACACATATGCTGCTATTAAATTTTTGTGATTATCCTATCGATTTGTATATAGGTAAATGCGTGATAATAAATAAAATGTATTCTTTATGATAAAGCTAAAAAGACACAAAAAGTGTGTAAGCAAGAGCGAGGGTAACAACAGACTGGTAAATTGCGAACTCAGCGTCAAATTTTAACAAACTCTTTTGGGCGACCGGTAAAATCTGAAACCTTTCAGACTTCTTTCTTTACTTACTTTTTCTATTTATTGATTATTTTTCTCGTGATATTTTTGTCAATGTACCGTAGAAGTTTAAGAATAAATAATTACATTCCAATATTATAACGGATCCTTTATGAACACAGAGCACTTTTATACTATTTTATAATATAAAAAGAGGTATTTCAGCAGAATTCGTGAAATTTTATCAATAGCAATCAGTACTCATTTGTAATATGAGGCTCATAAATCATTTGTGATATAATACGAAGGTATTGATTGAAGTCACTTTTCTTGAAATTTTGAAACCTCGTTTGTTCTCCCTAATATGTAAAGCCTCATATGTCCCAGGAATTTTAAATAATGTTATTATGAACTTGATATTAATAATAAAATAACAGGTACAGGAACTGATAATGTCTTCCATCGTTATGCATTAGAATACTTTAAGTATCTATTTGAATCAGGTTTAAAATTTTGTTATTTATGCAAATTGTGTGGAAAGATATTTTCGATCCGCGCATGCGCATATTGTATTCAACGTCTAGTACTTGTCTAAACACATGTCTAAATTTTACGTGTTGTAATCCGAACTAAGTTCTAAATCAACGCTAATGAAGTGAGCTCGAGTAAGTGCCATATTTGTTTAGTAACGGAATGTTTTCACAACCTTTCTTTGTAGTAGCGTAACAAATGTATTTGGTTTATATTTTCTCGCATTATTTATTTTTATAGCAGTGAATTTAATACTTAATATTGTAACAAAAGTTTTCTTTCCAAACTGATGCTTATTATGCAATTACTTTCGGCGTAAATTCGCCAAATGAAAGATAAATAAGAATTTTAAATATTCTTATAAAGATGTAGTTGACTTTATAAGAAAGAAGTCTCTAGCTAAAATTCTTACAGACCCTTACTACAGACGTATCAAAATGTGTGAGAGAGCATGCAGTTTCTTTTGAGGATCTCTAAAAAATGTCCTAATTCAAAATTCTTGTTTATTTTATATTGCTTCAGAATTTATTTTGTGATATGAATTTTCGTAAGCTTTCTTGAATATAAAAGCAAAACTTCAAAGGAAGTTGCATTTTGCAATATTTACATCAGAGATAAGAGTCTTGAAGCTATCAGAAATGGTTTCCTTTAATTGTAATCCACGGTGGTTTGTTTTAAATTACTTATATGCATAGCATCTTTTCTACTTCTGAACTTTACTTTTAAGACTTAAGTTTCTAAGTTTAAATATAATTCAATATTCTCTTAAGAGTGGCTTAAATGTTTTAAGTCATAACTCTGATTGTTCGGCACATTTGAGAAAATTATAAGTCTTATTAATTATTTGAAGAGATTATGATTAGCCGTAGCTTCATATGGCTTAATTTTATGAGATTAAACTCGGCAGAGCCTCGAGGGCTATCTGCCTAAGGGAAGTGATGCCTTCGAGGAAGACTTTCTTAGGAAAATGGCTCGTATACGCGTTTACAGTTGGAAAAATCACGAAAACACCCATGCAGCCAGCTCGTTCGTGGTATTCGAACCTCGGGCCGAACTACCAGTGTTCAGTGACTTTTACCTCTCGGCCGCTGGTGGGCTAGGTTCTTACGAACTGGCTGTATCAAATAGCATGTGTTATCCCTAACGAACTTTCTGTGCTGCTCAGAAACTACATTGAACTCTCGTTAAATAAGAAAAGATGGATTTACCTGTTATTATAAAATCAATTCTATGTTGCGTATCTCCAATGAACCAAATTGCAGGTAGTACAGAAGAATTGTAAATGCTTATTACCTGATTAGAAATAAACCGATCCATGATGATTTGAAAATAGGCTCCTATAGTGGACCACATTTCTAAATTTAATGAATTTTCTTGACCATACTTCACTGTGCTGCTGCAAACGTTTGAAAGCCCTTAATTACCAAATCGTTGGAGAAAGTAATTCGGGCAAGCTATTTGCTACCTGCTTAACAGACTGTAATTTCGTAACCTAGCTTGTATTGCCTTTACTGTATTTAGTATTTCCTTGAATATGAACTTAATTTATTCCTGCATTTCCTAATTCATGAGCTGCAAATAACTGTATAATTTTTTTTTGCTTGCATTACTTGTATAGTTTATGTTCATTTCTGATTTTAGCTTAAGCTGGGGCGTGACTTTTGCTTCTCGACGCTTTCCGTCAGATTCATATCCTTGCAATACAGATACAGAGGTCTCTTCCCTTTAACTTCCTTCTTTGACATTTCTCGAATTTTTCACATGCCAGCTTGCTAAAGTTAAGTGATCTCGGAGGTTCAACTTTCTTATCCAACTTGTTAATATCGTTGCCTTATTAAAATAAAGGCTCCTCTTGGATCGCGTACATAATATAGCTCATAGCCCATGTATATATTTCAGTTCAGGCCCCGATCTCAGTTGCATGGGTATTTCCGTCGATTTTCTTAATGTACAACGTGAATGTCAGCCAGTTTCCCTTACAAAGTCCGCCACGAAGACATCCTTTCCCTTAAGTGCCTAGCTCACCAGCTGTCGAACGGTAAAGTTGCTTGTGGTTCGAATCCCAGCGAACGAGCTGGCTGCTTGGAAATTTTGTTGTTTTCTCCATCTATAAAGTGTATACGAGTTGGTTTTTCTTAAAATCCCCGAAGACATACCTCCCCTTAAATAGTCTTCGAATTCTTTGCCATGGTGTGGTGGTGTATTTAATTATGGCAAAGCACACTAGGGCTATCTGCCTAAGAGGAGGGATGCCTTTCGTGGAGGACTTTCTAAGGGAAACTGGCTCGTATACACGTTACACATGGGGAAAACCACGAAAACACCCATGCAGCCAGCCCGTTCGCGGGATTCGAACCTCGGACCGAACTACCAGTGTTCAGCGACTTTACCGCTCGGCCGCTGGTGGGCCAATTCTTTGCCATGATCGAATAAACCAAACCAAATAATCGAATAAGCCAAACACTTAGAAGTTTTCAAGTGTTTAGCCGTATTTGACTAAAAAACACCTGCTAAATCAAATTTGTTTCCGCATTGCCGAGTAAGAAGCAAAAATATTTAATTTCAGTTTTCAGTTTTAAAATAAATCTCATTTGAAAACTTATCGAAAAATATCGGCTAATCGGAATATGGTAACAAGTAGTTTGGCGACATTTTGGTAAGGCGATAAAGGTTACTAGCTAGGACTTTAGCAGTGTACATGAGTGTGGGCAATGCCATTTTTGTGCAATTCTGGGATGTTTTTTAAGCGAAAATAGGTCGACGTGTACATGGATACCGTGTATGTGCAATTCTTAAATTCTTAAAAACACGGCAAGCAGTTTGCGATTCTGCAGTTTCTCCCAATTTCGAATCTAATCTTCGTCATGATTAAGCATTTTTGTTCCACAAAAGTTCTAGCATAAGCGTAATTCGGCTAGCAGATTGTTGGAAAAAAATGTTGAGTAAAAAAAAGCTTTTACTTCGTGAAAACAAAATGGCGTCCAAAAAAAAACTAGCAGGTTGCCGTAGCCGGGTTGATCGCCAAATTTTCGCCAAAAAATCGCCAAGTTACCATAATTCAAAGATTAACCATACTATCTTTTACTTATAATCGTAAATATCTTCTTTCACGAGGAAATTAAAAACAGGATTTGTCCTTGATCTAACAGCACACTGATAACTTATTGCTCAATTTACAATATGCATATTAGAACGTACTCTTTAGAAAATCATAGTAATTCTTAAGTCATGTTTCTCTTCACTCGAGTTTTAATGTTCTTTAACGAGAATTAAACTACTGAACTAGAAAACACCGCTGGATGTTTGGGATGACTTACGATTATGCAGTATAATTTGTCTCAATACAGCAAAGTGTATTTTGTGATTAGCGGTTTGTCGCTTTGGATCAAATGCTCAAGTAGCACATGACGTAGCAAAGAATTTGCAAACTGGTCGTGGTGTAACGTCTTTGCTGCGTCATGTGCTACTTGGGTGGATGTGACTTTGGGTCGAAATATTTAACTAAAGCAGTAACGGCAAACCTAATGATATACACTCAAACCTGTTTTTGTGCGGTGGATAGGGACAGCATAAAAAAACTCTTACAAAAATCGCACAAAACTTCACGAGTAGCTATAAAAAACGGTCTTTTAGAGTTTACTTTTTTCAGTTACCATGTAGTCGGTAATCAGATTTTGCGACGACTGTTGTTCCACTAGACGCTTGTATATGCTTCGGTAGCCAGATATACAAGATTGGAACTCCTTTTCTTTCGCCAGTTATGTTCCAATTTTATTGAAATTTCCATATACCTCACCAAAAAAGACCGCAGAAAAACAGGTTTGAGTGTATATAGCTTCAGGAAATGAAATTAATGCAAAATTAACAAAGCTACTGATTTCGCTTAACATCGTCAAAAATCGTAAGCAGTTCTACCACAAGGTAGAAATCGAGATTATGGCCTTGTGAGTAATGGACGCTTAAGTAGTTCTACTGATCTTTATCTCACCTTCTTGCCCTCAAAAATTTGAAATCTTCCATTAAAGGAATGAGCAGTAATCAAAAAAGTTAAATCTCGTAATGAAATTACTAGAAAGATATTTATCTTCCCAGCTTATTCGCAGTGGCATAATAGGGATTCGGGTAGTGAAGAACAGGTTACCATAATGTAACGCTTTTCTGAACAAGTATGATTTCCACCTATTTAATCGAAAATAAATCGCCAGAGTTTCGTACAAGAGGAAACAACAGCAGCCGAGCGTCGCTGAACACTAGTAGTTCGACATCGGTTTGATTCCAGGCAAACGGTCTGACTACATGGGCATTTTCATAGTTTTCCATTGTGTAATGTTGATACAGTCTCCCGTAGAAAGTCCTTCATGAAGGCATCTCTTCTCTTAGGTAGCCCTCGTATACTTAATACTCTACACCTCGTATACTCTCTTAAGCGTAATCAACTAAACCAAATGTAGAGTACGAGTAGTCGAAAAATTAAACACCGCAAGAAGGCATTCTTTTCATGTGTGCATCTGTAATTTTGTTCGTCACTAAATTTAATTATCAATGCACTAAGTGTATTCTAATTAAGATGACACGTTCAAATATTTTTTTTCATATTTAAAATTTGATATCATTAGATTGGCGATTTTCAAATTGTCAGAAATGCATAAACCATAATCCAAACACAGTAAAAGCTAAAGGCAAGTTTGCTAGATATACAGCGATGACAGGTACCGGAAATCTAACAAATGGCAAGGTAAAATGATTTTATTTTTAAGCGACAGTTAAAAATCAAATTTTACTTTGGCTTATAATAAATTAGTGCCGATCAAACATAATCTGTTCCAGAGGTTCCCAGCCTTTTTGCCCTCGAGAGCACATTCTAGAATCTCTCTTGGACGGCGGGTACCATTCACTTTTCAAGGTGAATTTATAGTTGGATAGAGTTAAAATAATACATGCAACATAAAAAAGAGATCGCATTTCGCCTTGATCTCGTATCTGTGTTAGGCACAATTTTTTTTTAATATCTAGAACTTTCACGTGGAATATTATTGAGATCTGAAACATTTTTATTGAAATCTAAAACATTTTTGTTATAATCGCACAGCGGTGGATACACGTTAAACGATCGCGTAGCGCCATGGTGCCATCGGGCATAGGGTTGAGAACACCTGGTCTATTCGTTCGGTTTTTGTATTTCTGAAACGTAATATAAAATCCTAAATGAATATTTCAGAAACTATTCAATTCCTTGTCCATAGTGCTTTCTTACAAAAGAACATGGTCTTCAAGCTTGAAATCTATTCTTTTGTGAAAAACTTAAAATTTCTATATTTTCCCGTTTATTTTTTTATTTAAATAAAAATGTTCAATTCTGGTGTTTTTTACTCTTTCCCCAGAGCCCCCTTTCTGCTTGGGATCAAGATTTCGGTTTTTCTCTTTTGTAATGTACTCCATTAGCATGCTTTCGAAACTCTTGACAGTGAACAGAACTTCAGTGTTGATCGCGCTGGCGTTGTCCGTCCTCGTTCCGCTTTGCATTAGAGCATCACAGGTGTCATCTTCGAAAACAAAATCTACTCCTGCAGATAGATTGCTCAGGAAGCACGAGTTAAAAACATTTCTCGAAACTGGTTCCAGAAGTTCTACCGTACATCGGGACAGCAAAGAGTACAAGTGCCATGTCCTGACAGCTCTGTAAGTATGATCATTTTTTCGAAATTTTAAAAAATTTGTATTTTAATCCTTTGTACATCTTTCTTTGGCTTCGCTGCTTAAAACATTATCAGGCAGTTAGCAGCTTGGGGGAAATCAATCTAACAGTTTACCGAAATCGAATCTAGAAAGAAATCGCTAATATGAATGCTGAATCCTTGAGAGCCATTCAGTGTCAATAATAAATGCTACTAGTATTGAAAAAATAAAGGTAGTCCATAGCGTAATTTAGATCAGCGTCGAAATCGTGACACAAAAGTGAGATTCTAGTTGCCCATCCCAGAAATGTAGGCAAGCAAAACGTTTGCGATTAATCTCAATTCTCGGGATCACTTCAAGATGTTTACGTAACTTAAAGAAACTAAAAGTTAGCAGCAAAATTGGCGTAATGTAAGTAAACGGGAAAATTTACAATTTCAAATTCAGACTGAAAACTCTTCAGCTGTGGATAACATTTATGTGGTTTTCCGCTCATAGCATATACATGAGTCAGTTTTGCTTGAACAGTTCTCCGTAAAAACATCCTTTTTAAATTAACTGTCGCGAATTGTGTCGTAATTACTTACTTTTTTGGTATCCTCTTTCGGGTACTTTTTCTGTCGCATGGAATTTTTTTACGAGGGCCATCCAGGAAGTAGATTACGTTTCCGTCTGTGTGCGCTAGGGGCGGGGCTAGCGCGGCCATCTTGGGGTCAGAGCGTTGCGCAGCTCAGTCTGCATCTAGCCGTGCTAGTGAGAGGTTCGTGCTGTGCTCCGTTCAGATACTGTGACGGTTTGAAATGTCTGCGTTAATTGAAAATTTCGCGAGCTGCGATCGAAGTGGGAGACCCAGCATAGTGACCGCCGAACTTCTCGAAAAAGTCGATGCTAAAGTCCGTGAAAATCGAAATTTCACAATAACGGAACTTTCTTTGAGTTTTCCACAAATTTCGCGAAGTTTGTTGCACGAAATCATCAGCGAAAAGCTCGGTTACCACAAGTTTTGTGCAAGATGGAAGGCAAGAAGAGGTAACGAAGTGGTTGAAGGCGCAGGCGGCCGAATTTTTCGACGAAGGAATTTCCAAGCTCGTACATCGCTACGATAAATGCCTTAATTTGTATGGTGACTATGTAGAAAAGTAGTATTTGAGTGTGGCTTTCATCTGTATATAATAATATTTGTTTCCTATACTTTGTTTATTTTTTTATTCCAAAACGTAATCTACTTTCTGGATAGCCCTCGTAATTTAGATTCAACTTTTAACAAATTATTTCAGCATTTATTGGGCGTAGGCAGCCCGCAAAAAAGGTATGAGGGGGGAAAAAGGATATGAAGAAAAAGCTTGAGAAATGCTCGCTTTTACAAAGTCTGTTCGCATATTTTTAAAATGTTTTTTACAGCAAAGCAAAATTGATCTTCTGCTTAGAATTTTTTTTACTGCAACTATATTTTTGAAAGTATAAATTATCGTTTAATACTTGACTGTTTTTTTTTTCATGCAAAATGTCGCTTTTAAAGAACTAATGGATGGAAGATTATAAGGCTATGATTTTGTGCTTCCGAAGAACATTATTCGTATGTAGTTATTAAAACACGTTGTGAAAGCTATGGTGTTCCGATACCTACGATAGGGTTAATGTCAACAAGGAAAACAATTTCAAAATTTACCTTCAAATGGAAAAATTGCTCCCAACACGTAACCAAGCAAACTGCGAAACGTTTCGAATGTTCCAAAAAAGTAAGATCTTTAATGTTAAAAGAAAATTCTCCACGACATACCGCCGAACGCAGAACGCGCTGCAAAATTCTTTGAGAAACATTGACCGGTGCAAAAATGTCCCAATAAACGAATCTTGACAACACTAAATTGACTGCAATAAAGGGATCCATTTATTATCACAGAGGAGATAACTTAAAACATAGTTTATTGAATCCAAGTTTTTCTAAGGGATTTAAGATTGTTGCTGGTTTTTTATGCAGCGGCAAATTAAAAATAAAGGCAGTGAAAAAAAATGTTTAGATCAACTCTGCGTAATATCCAAAACATATTTTACATCGTTTTCAAATGTGAAATACCTCTTCTTTACACACAGTGGGATCAATCGGTAGAACTGCATCAAGACAAAGCAGGAAGCTACACGTCAAAATCTACCGTTAGTTTCCCGTAAAACATGAAACAAGAGACGGATATCAAGGCTATAACCCTTCACTCATATCCGTACTAAATCTCCTGATCGAACACCAGCGTATTTTTGCGCTTATGAACTTCTAAAAACAGGTTGTCCAAACGTCGAGACCTGAAAATTTGAAAAGCTGTTCGTGAGCAATGGGGAAAGTCTCTTCCTGTACGATAAAAGACTTTAATGCCTTGGATATTACTGTGTATAAATCTAGTGAAGAATTAGAGTGATCAAATAGAATATTTAAAACCCAAAAGCATAATTTTTTGAAATAGTTTTTTTAGCTTAAAGAGCTTTGGCCCAGAAGGGCTATTAACATCGTTTTGGCATTTCGTGGCGTTTCACTTTTCAAATTGTTGCCATCAAACATTATCGCCCTTTATTATATTTAAAGAAATGCTAAATAATGAAGAATGCATGTTTCTCGCATTGTGATAAAACAACGCTTCCTAGAGCCATTCATTCAATTTTGAAAAACGTAATCCTCCACCCGAATATGGGCATCTGGAAACCCGAATTTAGAATTGTTTTATTTTGTTTCATATTTTGTAAAACTTTAACGAATTTTTGATTAACAAACTCAACGATTTCAAAGCGAGCCGTGGCAACACTAACGGGAAAAAAACATTTTTATCTCTAGCGCGCGAGACCGTGTATGGGAAATTCTAAATATATGCACTTTTAAATATTATGTGATATTTCTGTTGAATTGAATTTTACGGTTTAAGTGCGAAGAACATGATATTTAATAAATAAAAGTAACACGCAAAAGTTAAAAAAGCCTCTTTGGGCGTAATATAAAATCTGAAAGCTTTCGGTTTTTTTTTTTTTTTTTTAATTTCGATTCAAATTCCAACATTTTTAAAAGGGCTATTTTATTTTTGAGATGATACATAAATTTGGCGACATCTTTTTCTTTGGCGGTTTTTGTCTCTTGTAAAACCGGCAAGTACTTTAAATATTAAAAGTAGATTAATTATTCAAGTAATAGGGCTTTCAAAAAAATAGTAATGCTTTTAAGATTTTAACTTATATTCTTCGTATTCTTACTTTTTCTAATAATTCTCCAGCCATTATTTTATTTCAGACTGCATGTTCTTTATCTTATAAGGCGTATTAACATTACTGATAGTTTTCACAATTCAGAATTGCCTTAAATTCAATGTTATGTTCTTCGTTGCGTAAATAAAACATCTCTAATTGAAGTATTAACTGCTTTTTGATTACTATAAAACTCCAGCTGATAATTATCTTCGATAATTTTAATATATTTGTCTTTGATCAGCGTGATGAATTTGCAGCCGATTCTCCAGTAAATACAACGAATTATGAAAACTGTTATTAGCTTGAAATTGGGGTGTTTAATTTCTGAAAAAGGATTTGGCTTCAATTTTTCAAATTTTTTGCGTATGCTGAATGCTATAAGAATTAAAACAATATGGCATTCAATTATTGACAAAAATGAAGGATTTAAACTTTATTACAACTTTAAAGAGTGAACAAATTGTAAATTTACTAACAGGTTAGATTAAATATTTTCTAATTAATTATTTGGGTAGCATTTTATATACCTTAATAACTTTATTTAGATATGTTATTAAACTTTATTTTCCTCTCTAAAGTTAACGTGATATATAAACTGTAAGGTCTGCTCACATTAAATTCAAGTCTGTCCTGTTAAAATTTAATAACGATTTGAAAACCTCTTATGTAAACCTCATCACTGCTTTTAAGGCCCATTTTTAGAAACCAAGCTTATTGTCCGAGCTAATCTGCTTGCACGTTGTGTTAAATGTTTATTATACTGAAGTTCCTGAAGACCATAGGTAAAGTCGCTGAACACTGGTAGTTTCAACCTGGGTTCGATTTTAGGCGAACGGGCTGGCTGCATGGGCGTTTAAGGTTTTATGTGTAAAGTGTATAGAAGCCAGTTTCCTTTATAAAGTCTTCCGCAAAGTCATCCTTTCCCTTAGGCAGATATCCCTGGTGTGCTTTACTGTAATCTTAATAAACCAAACCATGCTGAAGTTCCTTTAAGCAATATACGAAAAAAGGAGAACGGTGGCAATGGTAATTTGCAGACGCATTCAACGCTACTGCTCCAACAATTCGCTTGTAATTAGAACAGCAGAGCTCTGCAGTGTCACTTAACAGGCTGCGTCAGAAAAAATGTATACATAATTTAAACTGTCACAAAAAATTCATTTTTCTCCCTACTAAGTGAAAGTTCTAGAATAAATAAGCGTATAGTCCAATTTGAAAAATAAGTGTACTTTTTGATTAAACAGAATGTTCCAAATAGTGGCTTTCATGTATACATTTCTGAGTAGGAATCACGATGATTCCGTACCTCGCATCAAAAATGGGATTTCCACGCACATCGCTTGAATCTCATCCCAAAATGTATCAAGGTGACATGGTTTACGACAGTACACCTCATCTTCTACTGTGCCCCATAAGAAAAAATTGAGGCGCTTAAAGTCTGGACAGTGTGCAGAAAACTCGATTGGTCTCCTGCGTCCTATCCAATGGCCTGTTAAATTATTGTTCACCACTAGCAGTTACACCACATTTATGTGATCCTTGCTTTGAAGAGTTTTGTGGTGACCATTGAAGCATTTCCAATAAACTGAGGATTCGTAACATGTAGCCGCGCGAGGTCTCTCTGATCGGCCTTTCTGCACATGACACACTGTTCCATGAACCTCGAATTTTTCGCGTAAACGCGTAATTGTTAGCCTTAAAGGTGAATCAATCCCATACTCAACATCTCCGCTGTCTCTGAACCGCAACATTATCAAACTTTCAGTACCATTTCATAACTTGCTTCTGCTTTTGGAAGTTTAAACATACATCCGCCATGTCAGTGGATCGCGCAGTTACACCGACGGCTCTGCTGCCACATGTTGAGGAAACGTAACATTACTTTTTTATAAGATTATGGTAATAAAGGTATGATAATAAATTTTATGACAGCTCAAAGTGTGCATACATTTTTCTGATGCATCCTGTTTTTGATTCTGTGAATCCTCTGAGGCGAGGACACCCGAGTTTGACTGTATTTGTCTGTTGTCGAGGTAGTTGTTGCAGATGTTCAATACTGCTCAATCTTCTAAAAAATGGCCACTTTCAAAGAGATTTATCATAGGAAGGTAAACACTAGAAGCTGATCCCTCCTATGTTGACAGGATAACACTGTATGTTTAAGCAATGTAAAGGGGTGGGACTGTATAATGGAGTTGCCGTTTGAATATCACACTCGAGGGAAGAAATATTTCTTGATAAATATTTTGGTATTCTTCATAATTTTAGCTGAAACCTTACAACTTCAGTATTTTAAATACCAAAAGTTATGAAACCACATAACCAGTTTAATGTGAAATTTTTCACACTTCTGTCTTACGTTCCAGCTACAGAAATGCAAGGCTTCATGACAGACACTTTCGAGAAAGAGAAGTGGTGACGTCACAAATTGCTCGCATGTTGGACAGCTGTAGAACAGTTGACTTTAGGATGTCTGAAATTTTCAATCAGTCCTTCATTTTCCCTGGTAAGTAACCGAATTGAAATTTCGCATTAAGTCCTTTTTGTTTCAGGTATCTCTATTATACTGGTATTACTTTTACAGAAAATTCTTCTGTATATATTCTTCTGTTTTTACAGAAAATTCTTCTGTAAAACTAACTTTCCTATGAAATTGAGATTAATAATAAACTTTGTTTATTGGTGTGTTTCTTTAAATTTTGTCGTTTTTATTTATTAGTTTAATTCCAGCATTTAAATTCTGAAATAGTTCAAAAATTTACCCAGTGTACATTACATTTCGCTTTATCTTCCACTGTATTATGGCGGAGTTCTCAATATCACGTACAATAAAAGATTTTATAGATACTGCTTATACTAAGATGTTTATTTAAAAATAACCTTCTAGAATTAATTGTCAGATTTACTATTGTTCAAATCTATAAAAGCATTTTAACTGCAATATACGAAATTTCTCTCAATTGTAGGGGGGTGGTAAGTGGTGGCTTTACAAAAATTAAGTTGAATAACTAAAACAGACTGAGCTTAGTGGCTCAAAAGCCCTAGTGGGCCACAGCCTGCAGTGCCACGAAATTTGCTTTCTTGACCTTGGACCCCGGAGCGCATCAGCATATTCCCTGGACAAGTGGTCAGCTTGTCGCAGAATCCCCAGTTTTTAGTCCCCAATCGAACTTCGTACTCAATTTATCGACCCATTCAAGGGATGAAAGGATGAGTCAACCTTGCCCAGCTCGTGAATCGAACCTCGGACCAGTGGTTCAGTAGCGCAGAGCGCTAGCCACTTCGCCAACGGGCGGTGAAATTAAATAACATTAATATTAAATAAAAGTGAAAGATTAAATGTTCGAACTCAAAACTGTGTACTTTTCAAGCTTCTAAACTTCCCGGTAAGTCCCAAGCACGTAAATATCATTCGCCTTTTGCGAACTGCAGAAACGGACAACGAGAACTCGTACTTAAGCTTTATCTGTCAATATCATATTACTGAATAGTAGACATTGAGGTTATTTCTCATTCGGTCTTGGTTACTTTTATTTATTTTATATCCTAGCTTTTCTTTATATTTTTCTCAGTATCAGTAACTGCAACTTATTGTCAAAATAAGCATACTTTTAAACAAAAATCCTTCCATAAGCTGATCATGGTGAGCTTGCTAATACTCGTACATTTAATTATTTTCCTCTATGATATTCTTAACCGTTTTCAGGGTTTTCCCCCATGTTGAATGTGTATACGAGACAGTTTCGCTTGGAACGTCTACCACGAAGGTATCCCTGCCCTTAGGCAGATAGTCCTGGTGTGCTTTGCCTTAGTAAACTAAACCTAACCTTGATTCTTTAGCTAGATGAAGTATATTAATCAAGTTTGAGGCCAGAACGAAGAAAGGCAAGGAGGATTTCTGCAAAACTTCTCTATTGCTAGTTCATCAAATCACACTCACACCAACAGGAACTCGTCATCGTCGCTGACATCAAGATACTAAAAACCCAGGTTGAAATATGCTGCACGAAGGCTAGTCTGAGAGAATATATCTGAAGCTGTCTCTGTAGAAGCAACTCACCTTATTAATACAGCAATTTGCCCAGTATATTCATAAACAATTTCAGTAGTTCTTCGCATTTTTAATTTCCCTATAAATCAAATCTATAGTATTTTAAAATAAAATTCTTTATATCTTCTTTAATCATAATTTAACTCTTTAGCCTTCAAATGACACTTAAATAGGCGCGGCAATAGCTGATATTGATATGCGTAAACTTAATTTCTTACTAAATTCAGTCAAATTCAGATTTATTTTGAATACTTTAAAATGTTTATAGCGCATTAAATGGGATATGTATTGAAATAAGTCGTTAAATCTACCGTTACTATGAAGTTCTTAAAAGCAGGAAAGCTAGCGTTGTATGATCTCTTTAAAGTAGTCAAGGGTTATTTGTAAGCCAAGTTTAAAATTCGATACTTGCGTATTATCGCAACCACCTTAGAAGAAACTGCCAAAGAATACGCCAAACTGTAACCATGCGCATAAAATTTATTCCAGTAGACATACGCATGACAAATATTCAGTTTCCAACGTCGCCATTTTTGAATGCGGGTTTTTTTAATTCAAAGTTCCAATAGCTTTTATAGAAAACTTATGATTATTTTTGTCTTTAACTCGTTTTTAAAACTTGTGTTTGTGGTGTTTTATTATAATAAAAAGGAACACATGCAAAATTTCTGGGGAAATACAGTATTTTTCCGCCAAATAGCTAAAGGAACAATGGTTCAAATTCTCACTCGGAGCGATCGCTGCGAAATTTCGATCCTAACAAAAAACTAATTAGGTTTACTGATTGATTTTGAAATATATATTCGAGACAAAAAGTATCTAATATATTAAATGTTTACAATAAAAGTAATTGATCTTTTCCTTCCGTAAGCTTTGCCAAACTACGCCAAAGTGGAATTACCTGATCCGTCTGATGAACTTAATTGTGCTAATATCTTGAATTTAATTGTGCTATATCGCTTACTAAAGTTCTAATATTTTCGTTAATTAAATATAATTGGAATAAATTTTAAAATTCTTAGCTTTTACAAGCTTTTTGATAAAAACTGAACAACTGTTTGTCTCTTTGGCAGATCTGGCACTCTCAACTTTCAATTTAATAAATCTTGTTAGCAGTTCGCGGCCAATTATTTTCATGTATGTTGAAATCTTTAGTAGGCATGTTTTGACATAATACTCATGATAATTATGTTGTCCTCTGATCAACTGTTCATCGAGATTGGGGTTCGGAGTTTTCCCATGTGTAATGTTGATGTGAAAGTTTCCCTTAAAAACTCTTCCATAAAGGAATCTCTCCTTTTAGGTTAATAATCGTCATGTGCTTTGCCATAATCAAATAAACCAAACCACCATTACGTTGGAAATCGGATTCTAAAAATATGGGAATTTTTAACTTCATAGTTATTGGTAAGTAGCATGTTGTAGTAAACATTGCAAGCACTGTAGACATTCTCTACAATGTCTCGTCAAATGGTTGTTTTCGATGTTTAAGACTTGGTTGTACTTTTTAGTTTTAAAAAATTTTATTTCAGTTTAAATAACTAAATTAGCATGCACTGTTTAGTTAGACTGAAAATCGAAACTTTAAAATACAAATTTTATTAGCCTTTCGTGTAAATTTCTGTCGTAAAATACTTCAGTACAACTGAAATTGATAAATTTGACCTGTTGATAGCTTTTGACGCAAAATTCCATTCTTTTTTAACCTTTCAAAATTTCTCGCTCCTTAGGAACGAAATGGTGTGGTGCAGGGAATGTGGCCGAGAACTACCACGATTTGGGCGTTTTCAACGAAACTGATGCCTGCTGCAGAGAACACGACTTCTGTGACGATATTATACAATCTGGGAAAAGCAAGCACAATCTCATTAATCCTTACGGAACTACCAGGTATATTTTTCGTGCAATAGTGACAACACATATCTGATTTTCCCATTAACCTTTGTTATATTTATTATTTGTTTGTACATTATTCATGAGTTTTTCATCTTTAAAAGAAATCATAGTGGGCAAGTCGCTGACCACTGGTAATTAGGTCCGGATTTCAAATCTCGGCAAACAGGCTGGCTGCATCCCCATGTGTAATGTGCATACGAGCCAGCTTCCTTTGCAAAGTTCTCTGCGAAGGCATCTCTTCCCTTAGGCAGATAGCTGTCTGGTGCTTTGCCATAGATAGATAAACCAAATCATCTTAAAGAATCTCGCTAATTGTCAAACTGGCGTAGTGGATCGTATGGTAATCAGTGCCGTTATTCACTTGAGTTCAGAGACTAATATCTATAAATTTACTAACGACAGAAGATGCTACTAATAATAAATGGAATAATTACGATGTAGTAGCGTTATTTTAATGGAATATCTTTGAAGATTGTAAGTTACTGTTTAACTCTTTCGCATCGAAATCGCCCGTAGCGCCCGTTCATTCAGGCAACGGCAAACCGCCCCAACGCCTCGTTTATTTTCTACCTAGTTCTTTCCCCTCCACGTTAGTGTATGGCTCATTGGTTTCGCGAGTTGTTAAAAGACATGTCAATCATTCTTTTGAAGCAAATAAAGGAGAAATACGGAAAGCTATTGACGTTCGCAGGTGCAATCCGGCCCTAAGGTGAAACTGCACACAATGGATGAATGGATGAAACCGCAGAAGGGGGAAAGAAAAAACTATTCCAAGACAAATTCGTAAACACGGGCGTTTTCGATGTCTGTTGAAAACAGATTGGGTCGTCTCTCGATGCGAAAGAGTTAAAGTAAGAAACGTGTAGCCACTTGCTTACTCCTGAAACCTTAACTTCATGGAGGCTTTCCGGAAACAAATTTGCCCGTGCTTTGTGCAATTATCACTTCATTAATACGAATATAAATTTGGCTTATGTTGCATAACTTCTTTTAAATATTTTTCTCTGAGTCTCGAATAGGCAAATATCTCATTCACGCCTTTACTGAAAACGTTTGAACTGTCATAATTTTCTTCGGAGAAAGGAATTTGAGACGTTGCTTTCATTATTTTATTTCTTAATAGTTACTTTGATTAGGTACTATGAATTTAAAGGACGTGTTCCAGAAAGTAAATTGAATTTTAAACTTTAATAATACTAATTACAGCTTTTCAAGATCATTCCATATTGCACCGCAGCATCGCGTTTTCTAAAGTTTGCCTACATTTTGGAATGATTGCTGACTAAAGTTAAATTAGTTTCATTTGAAATAAAATGAGCTTGTTTTTGTTGCGGATTTCTTCTAATGAAATTCGAAGTTAGTTCGCCAGTAGCCAAGTAGATTAAATCTCGGAGGATTTATCGTCCCGTCATTTTTTGGAAGACAGGCTGGCTGCATGGCATTCTCTGATAAATGCGAGCAAATGGTCTTTGGAAAATCATCCGATCCGTTTTCTATATTTAGCATTACAATGTATATTTGATTAGTTTACTTCCAATAATTTCTCGAATGATCAGTGGATAAAATCTTTTCCTAATGGTTAAAAAATCAAGAAGCACTGGCTGTTTGTGGTCTTTGGATTTTTCGTAATGTGATACAAATCTAAGAGAGTTTCTTTTAGACCGCCAAGGCCCCTTTTAATAGCCTGGTATGCTTTGTCTTGAGTTCAATCCAAATATTTAGTTTTAGTGTGTCCTCTTACTTCGAAGATATTTCTTGAAGGATTAAGGTTTTTGTTACGAAATAAAGTAAATGAAATTTTGTTAAACTATTTCAGCAAAGTATTTAATTAGGAGTGCTCCATTTTCTTTGAAAATATTTTTCAAGATAAGAATGTCCTCCATGAAGTTATCCTTTCCCATGAGCAAAATTCAGTCCATTACTCTGATGCAAATCAGATTATCTCGGAAATAAGGCAAATCTTGAACTTTTCTTTATAAACTCGACAAAAGAATCGTTTCTTCAATGGATTCTTTCACATGTAGGTATCGACGGTAAACAAAAGGCAGGCTCACTAGCCAAGAGAGGAACACTTGAGCCACAAGACAGAAAAACACTAAGAATATTTTTGAGAAATTAATGGATGCAAAATGAACAGGCAAATCCTGGGCTAGCATTCAAGACATATGGATACAAGCTTTGTCAAAATAACCCGTAAAGAGGCTGTGGCAAACTTAAGACTTAAAACAGGCCACGATTGCATGGCACATCATCTTAATAAAATTGCAATTCCGGCATCATGAATGCACAGTATCTTCTTATACGCCCATAACTAGATAAAGAGCCTCAGAAACGCGGTGAGATAAAGCAAATAATACTGGAATGCCAGAGCTTTCATGAACGTCTTTTAAAGACTCTATATCTTATGTTTCTTTCCTTGTTGTTAGTCCAAAGTGTCTTTGTCCCTGAAGGACTATTGTTTTCGTTTCGCGATTTTGCGTTGAATCACTATAAATGTCCGTTTCACTTTTCAAACTGTTGCCACCCAATGTTAGTTCTGCATTATATTTGAAGAAATTAAATAATGAAAAATCTGCATAAATGTATGTATATTTCTCGCATTTTAATACAACGGTACATAGAGCCATCGAATTTTGAATGACGAATATGGGCATGGGGAAAACCAAATTTGAAATTTGGAACTTGTTTTATTGTCGATTTCATATTTAGTAAAACTTTAGCAATTTTTTATTAATTAACTCAAGAATTTCAAAGCGAGCAATGGCAACACTCTACGGGGGAAAATGCCTTTTTATCTCCAGCCCGCGGAACTGTGTATCGGAAATTCTAAAGATAAGCAATTATTTTGCGACATTACTATTGAACTGAATTTTATGGTTTAATTGCAAAGAACATAATATTTAATAAAGGTAACACGCAAAACGTTAAAAAAACGCCCCTTTGGACGTAATTTAAAATCTGAAACCTTTCAGATTTTTTTTCTGCCTTGAATTTATTTATTTTTAAAATTTTTATTTTTGTTTCCATGTTTAATTTATTTTGATTTTTACTTTGAATGTGTTCTTTTGATTTTATATCATTGTTCTTAAGTGATACTTGAGGTGTTTTATATGTTTGGATTGATCTTTCCAATAAAGCCACATATAACAACAACTCTGATCTAAATCACTAAAAACATTAAGTCCTGTTGTCTTGTTAAAATTTAGCATTCTAGTCATGAAGGTAAAACAAAAAGCCTGTTATTCAAGAAATAAAAAATAAAAAATGCTTCGATACAACCAAAATGCCTAATTATAATTTTGTAAAACGGGAAATAACGTTTTTAATACATCTTAACCGTAAAAGGCTTAATAAACATAAAATTGCATATTAAAGAATTTTTGCTGAAACTTACTTTGAGAGTAAATATGCAACAAATATTTTACATTCCCTGTAATGGTAACCTAGCCTAAGTAACACAATTACTTCCTACTTCATAGATTGCATTGTAAATGCGATGAAGCTATGCGTCAGTGCTTTAGAAAAGTCAACAGCGTGATTTCCAATACGGTTGGATATATCTTCTTTTCCTTGCTACAGACACAATGTTTTGATTTCGATTACCCTACCTCTGGATGTTTGCTTTGGAGGAGGTAAGTTTTTATTTTAATAAGCTTACTTGTTTCTAAAATGTACTTAAATTACTTTTTAAAGTAAGCTAGGCAATAATTATAATTTCGTTCAATATTTAACTTTCGTGAATCCGAATCTCAAACGAATTTGAATGCATAAAAATTTAAAACTTCCCTCAACAAAACTATCACAAATTTAGTGATAATAAATACCATTTCAAATACCAATAGTAGTAACTGGAAGTATATACTTCCGTTATAATAAATAAAAAGGGAAGGCTATAATTTTTTCGATGTACGAATTTCTCCTGAAAAAAATTTAAATATTTACCAGTTGCAGATTTTATTAGTCTGGAAGGGCTATTAATTTCGTTTTGGCATTTTGCGTCGATTTACTTTCTGCGTTTATTCCCTTTTCAGACTGTTGCCACCGACTATTACATTTAAAGAAATTAAATAATGAAGAATCTGCATAAATATATGTATGTTTCTCCCACTGTGATAAATCAATGATACTATAGCCATCCAATTTTGAATAACGTAATCCTCCACGCGACATGGGCATCTGGAACCCCGAATTTGTTTTGCATTCTATTTTATATTTTCGGAAACTTTAACGAAATTTTGTTACCAAACTCAACAATTTCAAAGCTAGTAATGGCAACATTGTACGGGGGGAGAAACATTATCCCCAGCGCTCGAGACTGTGTATCGGAAATTCTAAACATACGCTCATTTTAAAATTATTTTGCGATACTGGATTTTATGGTAAATGCGAAGAACATAATATTTAATAAATAAGATAACACACTAAATGTTAAAAAACGCCCCTTTGGGCTTAATGTGAAATCTGAAAGCTTTCGAACTTTTTTATTTCATTAATTTAGCAATATGGGCTAAAAATAATGGCAGTTGCGTACCATTTGGTCAACCATGAAAGTGACGAAATACCCCCAAAAGTTTTACCAGTCGTTCCTGCGGAATTCTGAACAAATTTCTCTTTAGTTAATAAATAACATTCCACCCGCTTCGTTTCTGCGTTTCGTAAAAAGGCTTTTGTCGATTTCTATTATTCTGTTAGGCCCTCCCCTCTGATTTCAATGAAAGCTCTGTTTAGAACGATGTGAATAAAAATTTCAGGGAGGTATTGTTCCAATTGATGACTGTTTTCCGAACCACATTCAGTTAACCATATCGCGTTGATTGATATGCTTTTTATGGTAAAATTCCATTTTAAAATATTACTCTGCTTGCTGTTCTGTAGAAGGCAGAAGTTATGTTTCAACCTTTTCCCAAAATGGAGCACACTGATATAGTAAAAACAGTTAGTTTATATTCTTATTCATAAAAATGCGTGACTAATCGAGAATCAATCGGGGTTACATCAAACGAAAGCGCAGTCTATGGTGTTGTAACGTCCCCCTTATCCATAACTGGCGCTAAATCGCGCTGTTTAGCGTCACTTTCATGGTGGACGGGATAATAAGTAAGTACCAAAGTCATCGCAGTTTCTCTTCTTCCGTAATAAAATTATAGTAGTTTTTATGTAAGCACATTTCATTTCAGTTTATATTACTTTAAGCACTAAAATCTCAATAAAAATTATAGTAAATTAACGCACGTTATATGCTAAATTTAGCGTGGCCCTCTTATAGCTGAATTAGATTTGTTGCTTCGCAGGGGACAACAGTGAGGCGAATTCTAATTTACTTCCTCTCCTAATGTGTCCAACATGGAGTAATTTAGTAGTTTCATATTACATTCATCTATTATTAATAAACAGTTATCTCAAAAGTTATTCAAAACTTAACTTTTCTCCGAATATTTTCTTGCGCAAATTGGTACAAAATGTAAGCATTTCTGGACAGATCACGTTAAAAAAACCACTACAGAACATTTTTATAGTTTTATTTAACTAGATAGTAGGGGGAAATATTAACAGCAAATTTTAAGTAAATAACAGATATTGTGTGGATAAAATAAATGTATATTGGGGGAATTCTTGTCTGTACAATTTTAATGTTTATCTAATTATGTGTAAGAACCTAGAAATTTCGGAAATATTTCCTGAAATAAGATACTAATGGCTTGGTGCTGTTTATTTCAAAATATGCAACACAAACTAAAACTGTTTTCATGTGAAATTTGATAAAATTTTTAAAAAAACTAAGAAACGTAAACTTCTGCTCGCATTGTCAAGTACTCAACTTCTCTCCTAATAGCCACTCACTGTTGAGGGTTTCAAAGAACAGAAACAAAAATAAATTTAAACTTAGTCACAATAATCATGACTAACAACATAACAGGCATGTATTGAAGCTGAAAGCTAGGGCTCGGTCAATGTAGTTTTACTTCTTAGAATTTTAAGTTTCAGAATGTAAAGCTATTCAGGATATTCCTTTCAGATTCACGATATTGTAGCTCGGTTAGCAGAAACAAGTTAAAAGAAATTTTTGTATTATAAATTTGAATACTTTAATTCTGAACAAGCGCTTTAGTTCCAATTCCTTGCTGAAACAATTCCTGTGATAAATTGGAATACTGTATTTTTTTCTTATAGAGGAGCTGTGCGACTCTACTGCGTGAAATATAAATTCCAAGAGGAGGAAGATAAAAAGTGGCAGTGGTTTGATCAAGAACCATACGTCTGAAAATCTGCTAGAGCTCGACAGAATTATATATGTCATTCTCTTATAATTTAGGACAAATAACGCTTATAAAGTGGAGTGTTGTATATATAACTTTTAAACTTTTATTTGTTTGTCTTGTGTAGTTTTGCTTCGGACAATAAAAAAAGAATTTAAATCCATTTCCTGTTGATTAATGTTTTTGATATAATCTCAGTAATCTGCTTCATATGTAAGTAAGCCTTATTGTATAATTTTTTCTTAAATTTCAACTTCATAAAACTTTAAAAGTCTACTTGATAATCATGCGATTACCTCCTTCGTATATAAGTGTGAAATTCAGTTAATTATTTCAACGTCAAATTAATTATCAGCATGTTTGATAACGCAGTTTGGGAAAAATGTGTTGTAAAGTAAATTTGCACTCTTAGCAAAAAATTATCAGCATTTAAACATTCCACAACAATTAACTATATTTAATTACATACGCAGTTTGGCAGAATGCGTTGCACAGAAAATTTGGAAGCCTAGCAACTAATTATCAGCTCCCAAACTAATCGTCAGTTTTTAAATATTGCATAATAATGTGCGACATTTTAATTAGCATAAATTTAAACTGAATATTTGATAAACAGTCTACAGGAATGTGCTGTATAGTAAATTTGGATTCTTGGCAACTAATTAGCAGCATTCAAGCTAATTATTCCTTTTTTAAAAATTGCATAATGATGAGTGACACTTTTTTTTCATTGGCGAGCACCTAGTGGACTTAGGTTTGGACACTATCGAGGCTGGAAGTTGTGAATACTTTATTTCAGAAGCACCGAATTAAGTGGGCTATAATTGCCTCCTTTGACAGGGCCCTTCGGTATCGCAGTAGTCTACCCTATCCACTGTATCGTCTAGGCGGTATGAGTGATATCTAATTACTATAAATTTCAACTGAGTATCCGATATAGTTTAGAGGAATGCGAATGGTAAACGTTAACTCCTATGAAAATCATTTCAGCTATCAACATTTAAACTTTGCACAATAATGAGCAATATCTAATTACAATAAATTTAAACTGAATATTTTATAGTAAGGCTTCTCTGACTGAAACGCTGAATTCAAACTTCACGGTTTACTATTGTTGACAAAATGGGAACCCTTCAGGCTTGAAATTTGGAGCCATTTTCTCAAGTGTTTCAGTTTCGTTGTAATATCTCTGTAGATTACTACTGACAAACCTTTAGGAATTTTAGCTCCACTAATTATTTTACGTAACTAAGTTACGTACTTTAGCATATTAACTTACGAATCCGGTTTTTATAAACTTATTTTTATAAAATTAACTAATTCTGAATTTCTAATCTCAGCACAGTGCACTGAATTACATATATCGATAATTAGACATAACAATGATTAAAAGAATTTTCATATTCATATACAACTTTAACATCTATAGAATTTAGGTTAAAAACACGACGAATAATGATTATTGGAGAAGTCAAACAACAAGTATCAGTGCTATACTTGTAAATTCTGCATGACTAGTTTCGATGGTTTGACTACAGAGACATCGAAACTCGCCCTGGAAAATTTACAAATATAGCTCTGGTTCTTGTTGATTGACTTTATCCAATAACGTATAGCAGCGGTTCTCAACCTTTGGACCAACGCCTACCAAAAACTACTAAACAAAAACTGAAAAAAACTTAGTACCATCATTACATTTTAGTGATTATTTCTGTTTCTCAATAAAAATATTAAAAATATTTTGCCATTTGCACAACCTATTTGCATATTTCTATTAAATATGCACACATAAAAAATAGATTGAAAATTGGCTACTATTTTAAATATCTAAATTTAAGTTATAAAACTTTAATTCTAAAATTTAGTGTGAAATTTGGGCCTGTTTCAGGTAGATCAATTTCTTTGTCTAGTCTTATTTCACTTCGTTTTAATCGCAAATTAGGATCCACTTTTAATTTTCTTCCGTATTATATTTTTCAAATATAACATGGAAGAAAATCTTTGTTCACATAAATAGAGGTTTGGCAAAAAGGTGATAAAATTTTAATACCTCTATTTTAAATGCCTTTAAACTCTTTTTTTTTTTGGCTCAGCCAAAAGTTATTAAACGTTATTTTTTAAATCTTCAGTTAGAGTTCGACCACAGGAAATTTCTATCAAATGTTCTTTTTTTTCACGAGAATTTTTAATTTAATAGTTAAAAATACTGTTCTTTGCGTACCACCTATTTTGCTCTTGCGTACCACCGGTTGAGAATGGCTGATCTATAGAATATTCCAATAAGAATGGTTTAAAATGAATTGACAACCTCGTTTAAAATTTTATCACTAAATTTTATTCGTATTTAGTACGATGACAATACATGGCTAAATATACACTTCAGAAAACGTTACACTAGGATTATACGCTTCAGAAAACGTTACAACGTTACATTATCTTCTCATATGAAACTCTTTTCTGCTTGATTCGATGTAATATTGTCGCTTTTGATATGAAAAGCTCTCCGAAAGAAATGCACGGGAAGCCTTTGCATTCGAAAAAAAGCCACCGTTTAGTACTCTCAGATCATTTTTTTTTTCTATTTAAAATATAGGATGGGCATCCGGCGAGCAATATCGATAGATAATAAATGTTCAAGGTCAAATTTGCAAGGCACTGAATTCGGGGACAAGAAGACACCACAAGCCACATTGCTAACTGTAGTTACGACGTATTGCGAAAGAAGTTTGGTAAAAAGATTATTTCACGAAATGCAGCTATTAGCATCCCAGAAGTTGTGATTTGACCCTTTAGATTACTTTTTGGGTTTATATGAAATCAACAATCTATGCGAAGAAGCCACAAACTCTTTAAGCATTCAGAATAAACATCGAAAACTGCATTCACGACATTACGCCCATCATGGAAAATTTTGTTCATCGAATTCGCTCGTGTACGCTGAGTTGAGGTGGACATAGATATTTAAATGATGTTTTATAGAAAATATAACGTCATCAATTTTACTTCAAAGAATATAAAGTTTTATTGCATCTGAAAGCTTATATTTCAGTTCAGTTAAAAATATAAAAATATCAGTCTTATTGGAAAACCATTTGTGTACTTTTGATAAGGATAATGCAAATTCACCCTTACGCTTAATTTCAAACAAGCCATAAATAAACATAAAACCTCGGTGATTCATATCTGCCTTTCAGTATATATACAGGTACAAGAACCATGGATCGTAATCAAAATTTTATTTAATGTATTGCCAATTCAAGAATACCTAAACACAAACTATCTAACATAAAATATTCAGTAATTTGATTTACTTTGCAACCTAAAACTACAAAAGAACATACTTCGTGGTGTTCCATTACATATGTATCGTGATTTGAACTCGTTTGGTTTGGTTTATTTAATTAGGGCAAAGCACACTGGCGGTATCTTCCTAAGCGGATGGATGCCTTCGTGGAGGACTGTCTAGAGGAAACTAACTCGTATAAACGTTACACATGGGGAAAACCACGAAAACTCCCACGCAGCCAGCCCGTTCGCGGGACTCGGACCCAACTACCAGTGTTCAGCGACTTTACCGCTCGGCCGTTGGTGATCCGATTTGAACTCGGAAACTCCACTGGTGTAAACTTTTTTCGATATATTTCGCCAATGTGTGAATGAATGATCGTTTCCTGTAAATGGGTAGCTCGAGTTAGGCTATTTGAATATTGCAAAGAACGCGAAAGCTATTTGTCTAAATGCAGAGTAGGGAGACCTATGGCATATATTCAAATTACGCGCGAGGGAACTAACCATGCAGACAGCCCGTTCGCTTAAATACCAAACCGGTCAAACCCCCATTACCCAACAATGGCTGGGAGGTAAAGACGCTGAACATAAGTATTTCGAATCGAGCTCGAGGCTCACCAGTGGCCTAGCGGTAAAATTTATGAACGCTGGTAGTTCGCCTAGGGTTCAAATACCGGAGGACGGACTGGTTGCATGAGCGTTTTCGTAGTTTCACCCCATACGAGGCGTGGATAAAAACCAGTTGCTCTTAAAAAATTCTCAACGAAGATATCCCTTCCATTAAGCAGATGGGCCCCCGTACGATTTTTCATGTTCAAATAACCTACCCTAACCTGATCTAAACTTAAATTACTGTAATAATCAAATACTCCAAACCAATCTTTTCAGATTTCTACATTAACAGAGGTATGTTGAAAAGGACTGGACTCGATTTATTAGATTACGGCAAAATACAAGGTCGAAAAGGGAGAGCTACACCGGTCGGTACAGCGATAAGCGATATTTTCTGCTCTACTGCAGGACATGCGCTCAAATCCCGGAGAAGGCACACATATTTGTAAGTGTAGAGCATCTGTGAGGCATGGGGTCATTTAAAATACGGACTGAAGAAGGGAAGTAGAAGACCTACGTCCATGCCTCGGCGTATGTTCCATCAAAATTGGGATGGAAAGGTATGGTTACCGCTGTGGGATTGCAGTTATAACATGATTTGGTTGAAATTCTTGTGTCCCACTCGCGTCTTTCTATCTCAACTAAGTGCTTTTCCGGAGGACCTTTCTGATGGCAAATACGTATCATTCAAGTGGCATATCGGGGAGATTACGAGACCTCTTGTGTAGTCATTTCCTTCCCAGGAACTTGAACTGCATCGAATTACCAGTGTTGAGTGGTCTTTAGTAAATTAGCCACTGGTAGATCGTTTGTTGCAAACATTTTGCCTTGAAAGGGCATCATATCTGAATTCTTTATCCCTATATTTCAGTTGGGGTTTTAGTCAGCTAAATTATCAAAGCAGTGGACTACCTATAAATTTGTAAAAATCGTCTAAAATGCTAATTCAGATCTTTACAGAGAAATAAAAGAGCAGTTAGCAGTCAATAATTTTGTAATAGTGTCATATGCTCAGTTATTAAAGCAGATGAAAATATATGAGTTTGTCGAATTTCATGTGCTGATCTACGGAAGCAGTTAATAGATTATAAAATTCTCAAAGCTTATGCTATGTTCTCAATCTTTTTTGCCCCAAGCCCCCCATGTTACAACTGCTAGCTGGAACTCAGCAACGGCTGAGCGGTAAAATGGCTGAACACTGGTAGTTCCGAGCTGAATTCGAATCCAGGCGAACGGGCTGACTGCGTGGCATTTTCGTGGTTT